AGAAGGAGATGAAGACAAGTGTCGAAAACCTGCCTTTACAAGACAAGGTAAGGTGAAAATGACTGATTTGTAATGTTTCAGTACAAAAAGTTACATATATGAAAATAAACTGGGTTCCTGTGCCTCAATATATTCATGATAGTGTAATTTTCGCTTGATTTGAAAATGAGGGTGGGAAGGATTTGTTAATTGTACCTGCAGAAGCTGAACGAGGAATGCCTTGGGGGTGAGCCTGTGAGTTTTGCACTAAGACGTCCTCAGCCCACCATCTTGCGACCCGGATTACTCCATACAGATCTTTCGTCTGTTGTGTGATAAAAGCAAGAAGGGGCCATTTACAAAGATACACTAAAACACAAAACCATGAAAGTTGGCCATCTTGGTAAAGCGGTTTATGTGCATTTTTTATATACTGGTTTCTGGCTCTGACACGGCATATCAGTGGATAGGAAAAAGCTCATCACGGATTTATCGGGGTGCGCTTAGGACGTAATCGTGCAAGTCCATATTTACAAATATGTGACAAGTTCCCCCCGATTTTCGGTGCGACCAATTTACGAATCCATTAAGCTCGCCCATTCAGACGTAATGAAAGCTATAACTACATTTTAAATATTTACTTAATATCATTCCATAGAGAGGATGTGCTACGCCTACCTATATTAAAGAATTTATTAAAAACTTATATCTCTTTGCACCAGACAGATCTGCTAACCCGTGCTCCTCCTCTAATATTTCATTGTTATTGTACTTATGATGTAGAACCCTAGGAATGCTGAAAACTCAAGCGATCTTTTTATCGTTAGGAACTCAAAATCTTCCCAATATTAACAAATTTATTTCAAAGATAATTCACGATACACGACATTAGACAGAACGTGCCTAGCAACAGAGCTGTGCATCAGAGTATATACATGAATTGAAGAAAGGTACATTTTTCTGTTCACCTTTCAGCCTTACGTAAAAAAAGCAGAAATATCCATCAGCCGTGCAGTGCCTGAAGCCTCGAATTCTACATTCGGCTGGTCGGTCAGTGCACAGGGCTGTTCGGAGAATTCAATCACCCTGCCCGTTAGCAGAAACACGGGCTCTAATTCTGGATCCGTTCCAGAATCAAAGACAAATTCTTCAAGCAGGCCTCCTCTATCCCCGGAAAGGCTGTTGGAAGCTACCAAGTCCTGTATGCTCGGCCAAATCTCTTCATTTGACGAGGAACGTCTTCATGTGGAGACGCTTAGAGCAGAAAGTGAGGCAGAGGCAGCCAGGCGAGTTTGGGCTGGCGGCAAGCCACAATATTAAACATGACTGGTTGTGCAGACATTAAAGGATACGAGCTCATTTACTTTATTACGAAGGCTCGCAAAATTTGTAGAAATTCTGGTTTTAGAGTACACCTTTGATAGATTGGGGTTGGAGTACCTTCCATTTAGTTTTAAGAGGCAAGTGACCTCATTGAAAGTCGACGAGGGCTTGATACAGAGCCGCGACTGTAGCTTTGTGCGAATAAGTCCCCGACCCGATAAATTCGTGCTGAACTTTCGCCAGTCGTGTGACTGACATCCTCAGAGCAGGACATCAAGCTTTATTACAATTGTCAAAAAACGCAAAGAAAGGTAAAATGATCAGCTGCAAACCCACCTACATCTCAGTCTAACTGTATCCACTTAGTGAGTAGTGAGTGCATAAAATTAAGCGATAACTACTTGTGGCTTTTAAGTAGGATTAGAAACAGACAAGGAACAATGAGTACCGCCGAGCAAGAGGAGGCTTGGCTAGACTCAAATCTAGTTTTCACTCCCACGTCCCATGCGTCTCATGAGCATTGCATGTACGCAAGACACATGCAATGGAATGCAATCACGAACGATAACACGGCAGGATCAAAATATAGATGATTTAGGGGAAGATGCAGCTGTTTGTTCACATTTGTATTGGCTATTAGAATCAACTACGTTGCTTCTATTCACAAGTGGTAGGTTCGAAACTACCGTTAGATCCGAACTAAGAACTGTATTATTTAGTTATTTCGTATTATTTTTATTCCTATCATGAAATTATGCTTAACACTAGACTTCCTCTTTTGAGTTTAGATGGCAATGCGAAGTGATTCGCCTAGAGCTGGAAAGTTTGGAGCGGAAGAAAGCAGGTGTACTTCAAGAGTTATCTATTCTCGAGGAACGCAAACGACGTTGCCAACATCAACAATCGTCATTTGAGCAGATGACTCACTGTGTCCCTTTTCATGGAAATGCGACGAAGTCAGTAAGGCAAGCTAAGGAAGAAGGCGACAAGTATGCTGGGGAAAGAGGAATAGAAGACAAGATAGCAGTAATGGAAATGAATAAGAGGAAAATGGAAGAAGAATCCGGTACCAAAAATGACAATGACTCAACTAGTTGGCATGAGAATGATAAAAGAGCTGGCAGTAACTTACGAAAAGGAGCAGAAGTTACGAAAGATGGATCAGAAAGACAATTCCAAATAGCAATTGATGAAGTAAATGAAAGAGAGCAAGAGACGTCACTGAGTCCACTAGAAGATAAGGGCGGCGAACGACATCAGACTATATCAATTGCTTGGAGAGAGGTGAGAAAGAAAAAAATTTCAATTTTTGAAGGATTGGTCAAGGTCAGGACTGTATTAATTGAGCTAAGCTCCTTTTATTGCATGAATTAGGAATGGCTAACAAAACAATTTATGAAATAGTGTCCCGTAAATCACGATTTTTTATTAAAGTTATTATACTATGAAGCTTTCCGTTTCCGTTTCTGTTATGCGTTGCGACTAAAAAATGTGAAACTTATGCAAAAATATATTCCAAGAACTGAGGTAATAAAAATGGGTGAGAATGGTTATCCTTAATGCATCTCATTTATCCTGGATAGGATAGGCAGGTCAAAGTTCCTTGTACTTAGATTTCTTTAGCTCTCGGCTTAATATCAAAAATGTCTTTTTGTGAGGATCCCAGTGACGATTTTTTATAATATGGAAAAAGAGGTCCTGGAGGAAGTTTAGAAATAAGATAATCTCGTATTAATATAAGAAATGATATAGTTTAGAGTCTGATTGGCCTCTTTTATACAACTAGGCTATTCTAAGGAGCTGTGAAGACCAAGATGTTGTGGCCTCGGGTATGGTCGCAGTCTCCTTTCGACTTATAGAAGTGGGTTGATCTTGTTGTCACAACTTGGTCTTGAGTTCAGGGAGACTATGTAGAACGCACTGAGTCCGAAGTTGTCTGCCATAGTACTTGTCTTGATTCCCAGCATCCGACTGTAGACTTGATACATTCTCAGACGTTTCGCCGGCATCGTAGTCGGCATCATCAGTGAGACTTGCCATTCTCCGACAAGATACGAACTCGTCTCTTTGACGACCATGTAGAACGCACCTAGTCCGAAGTCGTCTGTCATAGTAGTTGTCATGATTCCCATCTTACTTTTTCATATTATTTCCTCGAATTTCCACCCTTATTATTTCAAACTGACTCGAGATTCTATCCTTTCGAACAGCCACATTCATTACGCCCTCGAAACCCTCATCAGTCATACTTCTCGAATATTGCAGGTCCCTTGACTCTGTCAGTGATTAAATACAAATTTCGTCAACGAATATGATGAAATTTAATGGGAACTTTAGCTATACTAATTGCCTGGGGTTATATAAAGACTGATAGTAAAATTTCCCATCATATAATGAGAAGACTTCACTATGTCAATGAAAGTCACTTAGCCTTGCCTCCCACAAAGTGTTCTCATCCAGATTGGACCCCAGTTTAGAGCTTTCCTATATTTCATCCTTAGCTCCAGCGGGACTCGCAACCAGATCATTAGGCCGAGTGAAGACATTTTATCACTACGTTACATAGTTAAAGGTGTCATTAAGCCATAGGGCAGCCAGGCCTCTCCTAACTAACATTTATTTTGGGATTGCTGACTAGGAAAACATTTGACAACATTGCTTTCTTTGTATTGTGACTATGTTTGTAAATGAGGTCATGAGACTATCAGTAAATCACATATATAGGACGTGTTCACACATCTTAAATGTGTACTTACACTACATTTCGTCTTCCCGTGACACCAAAGTACTAATCCCTTGCAGTCGCCTAATTAAAAGAATTGAAAGGCAAAGT